CTGAATAAAATTATATGGGCTTCTCTTTATTACCAGTGATGGCAGGGATGTTGCCACAAATACAAAGCATGTTTCAGTTAGACATTCAAACATCATTTTCCATATGTGGTTGGGGTAGTTCACTTCTAAATATTATTGCTATATAGCAGATGTTTTATGCTGAATATATTTAATTTCCATAGTGTTTCTCATCAAAATATTTGTTTTTTTAGTAAGAACAGTCCTAGGATGACAGGACATGCATTTTTGCTGTTACATTGTAGTAAGGATGATAGATGCTTAATATGGCAAAAAAATAAATGTCTATTAGAATATATTATATATATATATATAGATATATAGATATATATATATATATATATATATATATATATATATATATATATATATATATATAGATATATAGATATAGATATAGATATAATAATATTAAATATTCAAATTAAAAGATTTGAAGAGAGATGCATGGTCTGTTTGCGTCAATAAAAGACATGGCAGTTTATGTGTATAAAAAGTTAAAAAACAAAACAAAAACAAAAACAACATAAAGGACTGAGAAACAAAAGAATCAATAATCAAAGCAGCAAAATATTACTTGTCTAACCAAAGGAAATGTATTCAATTTTTATTACTGTGTTGCCAGTCCTACACTGTAGAATATAACCAATGAGCTGACGATCTCAAGGGAGCTAGCTGACTAAACCATCTTCCGTCTTTGTCTCCTGGCTTAGACCCAGATGCCAAATGAAGACAAGATGTTGTTTGATTCTGTGAATTGCTCTATTCTCTGAGAACGGACTTTGGTAGCAGTGGGCTACCAATGAGAGAGGCTAAAGGTTAATACACTTTATAAGACAGCACACACAACCACCGCAAGCGACAGAGGCACGCAAAACACACACTGGTCTGAGGATTTAAGGAAGACCTTGGAGGCCACTGAGAATGGATTAGACAAGACAGCAGACTGTGGGAACCAAGGATGTGGTACAAGGCATGTTGCATGATACAAGGACACAGTTGATTGGAAGAGCCCTGCCGAAAGAGATCAGAGGCATGAATGAATAACTGAAGGATGGATAAGCATTGTTATATTATACTGATATCTGATATTTGGCTTGCTGCTGTGGCCAACGACTGATGTGTAAATTTAAAAACCTATAGCAATGCCTACAAATGTATACAAAGTAGCACAAAATAACTTGGGATGATGATAACAAAATATACTTATTGAGGTAGAGATAGACTGATATATCAGTTGGCTAATATATCAGGCCGATATTTAGACTTTTTAGCATATCGATTATTGGCCATAAATCTTCAGCATAGGCTGATATTACACAAAGCTTTCTATTAACACTTTAATATGAGGAGATAACTGCACAAAATGTGACTACAAAGCTTATAGGTTTGTGTTAAAAAAAGGGCTTGGGGAGGTTGTAGTAAATTAGATAATTTGAGCAAAATCATCGAAATCAGTCCTACATATCAGCCCAAAATATTGGCACAGCTAATCTGCCATCTGTTGCTCTGTATTCTAAACCATCTGCATTGGCCATGAAAAAACCTGTATCAGTCGATCTCTAATCCGGAGTATAAATCACTTCATGATTACGTAAACTGACAGCCATATTTTAAGACTAATTGCTGTTCTATTTCCATTTTACCCATTAGTCTGTTCACATGGACATATCTGATCCACTGATGACGGGGGGAATGACACATGGGTACACAGAGACTGAAGGCAAAACAAATATCTACAAAATTTTCATAATCAAACTGATGCCAACGTCCAAGGAACTAATATATCACCCATAACAAAAGAAAAGGCTCCTCCTTCCAACAGTAAACACCAATATTTGTCATGACTCCTCCAGGTGACTCCAAGGTAGCTCAGTATATATAGAATAAAAGATGTGCATGTGAGAGTGTTGTTGGCTGTCCGTGTACACTGCAGTCTGTCCTTGGTGAGACAATAGCTGGATTCTGCACAGTAAGTCCGTGGGAGGAAGGGGACAGAGGAGTCAATGAGTGAAGAGGCCTCAGGGGTGCGTCAGTGCCGGGCCATGCTGAGGGTGTAGGAGGATGGGACACTAACTAACAATGGCCAGAGTAACAGCCTTTCTGCACGCAAGCCTTTACACACATGTACTACACACACACACACGTACTGTACACACACGCGGACAGGCACAGTCAACAAAAGCCCAGGTGATCACAGGTCTGCAGGATCCTGTCCGCATGACTATCCACATATCAACAGAGTCAAGAGGAGTCCATGAATGAATGATTTCAGACATTCACAAGTATAAAGACTACAGGAAATGTGGTCATCCCTGATTCACCATTCAGTGATGTTTAGGTCAAAGAGAAGTTGCACTGGGACTAATGAGCCTAAACAGAGCAGGGATCAGAGATAAGATGGATGAAGATAATGCAGGGTCATCAGCACATACATAATATTATAGTCCAAGAGCACATTTAGAACATTTAACTCAACTTTCAGATGAGTTCAGATGTCTTACTCTTCTTTTATTCATTTATTTTATAATCAAAATCAATTCAATGTTTAACAAAAAAAAAAAAAAAAAAAAAAAAAAGATTACTCAAACTTTACTCTCTCATTCAAACCACAAGCCTGGGAAACAACTTTATAACTGAAAACTGTAGTAAAGATGCTCCTGTTCACAGAAGAGTGCTTATATGAATGGGCATGTGTCTCAAGGCAGGCGTGGATCTCCATGTGGAAAACCTGTCCAGCCACTCTTTCCAAGTATCACTAACACAGATTGAGCGTAGCTAAGGATTAGTCATTCATTAAATGCACCATTGACATCACTGAGGGATGTTTATGGGTGAGCATACTTCCGGAGGAGTTCGATGCAGATACAATACACGTTGCAAAACTAAGTATTAACTTACTAATTAGTTCATATTTATGTATTCAAATTGTGAGATTGTTTAATTCAAGTAACCACCGCCACCTTATTAAAATTTTTTTGTAAACTGTTAAATCCATTCCCATGGGGTGATGACTCTTTAGTTTAGGGATTACAGATTAACAGATAATTGGTAACTGTTATGATAATTAGCTGCTACATACCTATTATTTGGTATTCATCAAACACTTATTAATGTTTATTAAAATAAACTAAAGTGTTACCACCAATTCTTTATGTGCCTGTCCAAAGCAAACTGACAAGGTTGCATCAGAAAGCTGTCCTAAAATTATTGCATTGTAGAAGATTACACATTTGCTGTGGGACCACACAAAATAATCCCAAAAAATATCATGAAATTTAAAATTTGTATGAAAAGCAGTTTACCTGCATGACCTACTTCAGTACGCGAGGACCCAGAGCAAGTATTTCAAAAAAAGGCTGAAATATGATGATGTCCCTGAACTTTTGCCCTCTGATGTGAGCTCCTGGCCCAAGTGCTTATCCCTTGGCATTTCTCACTCCGGAGCAGAGTGCAGGGTCAAAGGTCACCATTATGGGGTTTCCCCTTTCAGACACAGCCTGATAACAAGGGCTGAGCCAGTTTTGACACTGACACGAGCTTGCATGCCCCACTGTCAAAAATGAGCCACATCAGCGAGAGTGAGGGAACAGCCCACCTACGCTTGAACCTCTCATGCAGTTAGGGGGACTCCTGTTCAACGGCAATTTTAGTAAACGTTCTCAAGTGAGTTTGTTGGCTACTCCATTTGAAGCCACTAAAGCAAATCAGGAGCTCAGTCATTACTCAATTCATTTTGATGGGATGCTCATATAGGCTTCTCACAATAAAAAAAATTAAGTGTTATATATATTGTTACAGAAAATATCCTGATAATATTTAAATGTATAATGTATTATTTATTTAATGACACTGATACAATAAGCCTAAAATGAGATAATCTGCAGTAAAGCCTTTTTCTAAATGTACAATTTATTTAAAAACATGAATTGCAACAAATAAACAGCACAGTTAGATTACCTAAGTAGTTATTGTTAATGAGCGGAAATTAATAATTCAACAACACTACTGCTCAAATGTTTATGGAATAATAAAAAAAAAAAAACATGACAATGTTTTCCATATGCACAATAAATATTTAGTCTGAGAGCCCCAGCTTTCATGTATTATTTATACTGTATAGTACTTATCATGGCAAACCTATCCTCTTAGTAGGAAACAGCAGTAAACTGGTGCAGCTAAGTCTTGAAGGCACAGTGTAGCAGTGAGTCGCTTGTCTACTGAATACCTGGGACTGTCAGTGATACTGTCCAGGTCAAAAGAGCTGTGTGAATCTTAACACGCAGCACAAGGAGAAGCTGAAGAGAAAACAAGATGCATAAACAGGATGTGAGGAGGACAAACATTACTGCGTGTTGTGATACTGGAGCTGGGGCCTTTGTGAGATACAGGGTGTGGCACATCACTACACAGAGTGAGGGGATATCACGGTTGCAAGGTTTGACTTGTTCTACAGAATTTGATGTTGTTGGTCCTTTTTGGAGTAGACGCAAATTCCTAGTTGCAGCAGACCATCAAAGTCCTATTATTACAGGTCCCTAAATGACACTGGACATGTCTATGAGGTATTTGAATAAACAAACAACTACTACTGAATTTGTTTAACTCAGTAAAACTGAGAACGCTATAGAAATACTATTTTTACTATTAATACTATAAATAATGTCAATTAGAAAGTATTTTAAAGTGTAAACTTTCATATGTGCTAGTGTGTCAAAGCTGTTTGCATGTTTAAGTTCTAATCCTATACTTATATTTGGCTAGCTTTTACATTAGAAGTGTAATAAGGAATTCAGTATCATATGCAAATCTAGCACTGTGCACAGAAGCTAAAAGGTTGAGTCAAGTGTTTATGAGGAGAACACGTGGAGAGGGTAGGCACTAGGACCTGCAGTGCGCCACAGCAGAGGGAGGGAACAGCCTTGGGACGCTTCATACTAAACTTTTTTGAACAATCCATTTCTCAAAGAGTAAGAGGCAGACCTACGTGGATGGCCCTGGACCTGGATTCACACTTTCAAAAACTCAGGAGTGGAATTTGGGATTTTCAACATTTCTGGAAGAAATTTGGGAGTTTTTACATTTCTTTTTCATCTGGGACCTGTTAGGTGGAATATAACAGAGTTTGGACAAGAAAATTTAGTTAATTGGGGGACACAGTAGAAGCAAAAAGAGCTGGTGAGTAAGCTTTTATATTATAAAAATGACATGAGTATTTGCAAAAGTGAAAAGGCTGATGCAGACTAGTAAAAATGTGTTTTTGAATTCAATGTTTGAGGCAAAGTTAGACACACTCTTAAATGAGAGCATCTAATATGAAGAGTCCACTTACATTGTGAGCAATGTTTTGTAAACATTTATGAATTTTAACATAAGTTAAAGTGGCTGAATCTAGTGCTTGAAGGTTGAGAGAGAAAGAGAATATAGGTGAAGCTTTTATAAAAAAAAAAAAAAAAAAAAAAAAAAAAAAGGTTCTCCAAACTTCAATGGGAACCAGTTTAGTGTTAGGAGACCTCCTGGGACATCAAGTTACCTTCTCCCTCCTCTTCTCTCTATCAGACTCTCTCTCCTCTCTTTCTTTTCCTATCTGTCTTTCCTGCACTCATGTTACACAACTCTCAAAGGACTTGTAGATTCTAATGATCTCCAGTGTCCAACGTGAAGAAGTTTTGCGTATGAGGTACTAGAGTTTGGGTGGGGCCTGCTTGCTTGTAAATATCCAGTTCAAGTGGCACTGGTCAGATTGTCCTATATATGCTAATATGAAGATTGGTGTGTCTAAGTGCAACGGCAGTGAGCTAAACACAGACCTCATGTTCATGCCACTCCTACCAGGGAATTCCTTTCAGGCTTTGACAGCGGAGGAATGTCACTTCACATTAACATTTACACAAACAAATATTACAAACCAGCTGTGTGCGTTTGTGGTTATGGATGCGGTCAGGTGAAAGGTAAAATTAGAACAATTATTATTATTACGTAATACAGCCACACATCAGAAATGTATGCAAGCAATGGGGGCATATGGAAAGAATTGTGTGGCAGTGTCAACGCATGCTATTTGTCACTTTGTTATTCTGCTCCTGGTCACACTACGGAGGTCCACATCTAAGACTTTACCAGCATTAATAGTCTAAAAACAAGTAGGTATTGTAAATTGTTCCATTTTCGTAGTAGTTTCTCAACATGATTACTGTATTAATTTTTAAACTATTTATTCAAATATTTATTTACAATCATGTTATAATGCTGATAATGATGATGACAATTTTGTTAAGAGACAGTAATAAAAATGCCGAGAGGTCATAGGTCTACCACTTTCTAGAACTTCTAGAGGTGCACAGAAGGACTAAGTAAATTGTTTATGCGTCAGTTTTGTGGATCCCAGAAGGGAGTAGTGTGTATTTTCATCACCTCTCACTGGAGGAAGTGAAGAAAAAAATCTGCAGTTTAGAATAGGCAGTGTACTTTGTCAGGATAGGACTAGGATAGTACTTGTATAGAGAATAAAACATTTCCGTTTATATGTTCAAGTTTTTATTTATCCAGGTATTTCAGAAAGATGAAAGTTGCTATGGCACCGGGGCAAGAGGAACAATTAAAAACAAAATATTATATCATTTGAATGGGCAGAAGGCCTCAAAATATCACCTTTAAGCAGGAAGTTGAAACTCATGGATACATTTTTACAAGTTTAACTGTATCAGCTATGTTTTTGTTTCCTACCCCAAAAACAGAGGATCTTTGAGCAAATACAGTTGTACTGAGTGGTTTCGATCAGGAGGCCAGGCTAAAAACAACTGGCTGTGGATATGTGGTATACATATGAAGGGCAGATGGACAGTGCTGTTTTCCTGCACACAAAGATGTCTGTGATTATTCATGACCCTCTCAGGTTTCCCTTTGAAGCTGAATTACAGCTTTCCCTGTTAGCACCACAGTGTGTGTCTACGTGAATGTATGGCGCAGGGACTAAATGACTATTAGTGTCCTCATTAGTAAGATACCATCATTGTTTAGAGGCTTGTTGCATTCTTTCTTGTCAATGCCATGTTAAATGTGAGCTTCAGTCAAAAAAAGGTTACACAAAATCTACAGGTTAAATGAAAACAGCTTTCAAACATAATAATAAATAATGTTAATAAGATAACATATGTATGTATGTATGTATGTATATTATTATTATTATTATTATTATGAAGGGAAGATGCAGCCACACACCTGGACCATCTACTACAATGGGTATATCGCTCCAGGCGCTAAAAGCAATTGAAACAACCACTGAAGTCAGACAAACACCTACATCCTGTTACTATAGTGTTTGAAGAAGTTCTCACTCGTTATTTACTGAAGGCAAAAAGGGATGAGCCTCAATAAATGTCAAGGCTTTGGGATTAAAGTAGTATTGATAAGGACAAGGTGATAATGATCAAAAGATAACATCTGAAGACATAAAATACAGTGTGCTCACCTGCCATATTTTACTTTGTATCTAGCCTCAGATATTAAAGCAATTACTTAGGGAAACAATTATCACTTAAAAACCAAACTACAAGATAGTGACAGTGAAAATTAGATGCAATGAACAAAAATACCACTGCTACATAAAGACAATTCAGGGAAAATTTCAGAAATAAGTTGTACATACAACATTTCTGGTCTACTTGGAAATGTAGTCAGTATCATTTAACATAAAACCTTGGTATCAAACCGTACTTATGGTGTGCTTCAGCAGCTTTTGTGTTTCTGAAACGTCCCATTCTCCCTACACACAAGAGTGACAACAGAGGAATTATGATGAATTATGATAACACTTATGCAGGAATGGAGTGGCAGGTATAAGCAATCACATGCATCATGGTGCCATCCTGGTGCTGAGCCTCCCAACACTGCAGAGCATAAGGGAGATCTGACAAGAGCAAGCAGGAGAGTGTGTTTGGTCCATCTTCAGGACCAGTATCTGGTCCTATGTGCATGGGGAAGCACTGCATGAGGCATGCAAAATGGCCTCCAATTTGTCCAACCAATCAGAAATAGACTTTAAGATAGTGGCCAGGCCTGGTGTCACGTAGAGAAATGTTTTACAACCTTTATAGTTGAAGTGAATCCACAGTATGATTTTTATTAAGGTAAACATGGCAATACCCCAAGGTACACTAACGCTGCCTGGTGCACTGGTTCCTATCAAGATAAGGGTCTGGAGGAGCTGTGGTGAATAATTAAGCCTGACTAGTTAATCCCTCTGTAGGGTTATGTGTCTTTTAATTGCTAATAATAAGTACTGAATGCCAATGTTTTTGTCCAAATGTAAAGACCTGATACAACCTGCAAACACAAACACTCCAAGCACAGTGTTAGTCCAAGATTTATTTATTTTTTTAACTCGCTAGGTTTCTGTCTCTTGAATAGACTTAAAATTTAAACTTTGATTGCAAAGCCCTTAATTTGAATCTGCCATACTTATGGATAGTGTCTTTGAAAAAAAAACTATAAATTGCCTGCAATGCAATGACAGCATTGTGGCACCCTTTCATTACCCAGTTCATTTCTTTACAGTATCTATCCTAACCACCGGTAGTCAATGCTGTGACAATGATGTGCTGCACTCTACAGGATACTACTAAGATGCCTGCTGAACAAACTGAAACGCAGCCTACACTCTTTAGAAGAAATCTACACTTTATATGTGATGCACAGAGCTGTCATTGTGTAGTTAGGCAAGAAACTTCTCTTCACTTCTTTTTCTTAGAATGAAAATGGAGTGTGTGTAAGTGATGGTGGCTAGAGGGGCTTTCCATCGGTCTGCTAAAAAGTAGCTTACCACCACAGTTTGAATTGAATGAATATTGTCTATTCTGTGTTTGTGTACAGCACTTTGGCCCGCTGTAAAGTTTGCTGTAAAGTGCTTTATAAATAAAGTCGGTATGGCATGGTATTGACAACAGTGTAGCACTTTAAGAGGATTTGACAAGCCTGTAAAGCAAATACATGGCTCTTTAAATGTGATGAGTAAGTTTGAGTTTAGCAAAAGACACTGCCTGTGCTGCTTTAAGTGCACAAGCAAACAATCATGTAAAACTTATGAATAGATGATTTATTATGTTCTCTGTCTTTGTGACAGTGCAAATAATAGAATAGCAATACTCATACAATTATTTCTGTCTCTTACTTTGAGATGCACATCCCTGTGTTTTATGTACAAGTACATGGGTGTGTTGTTTATGAGACAGACAGAGAATTGTGATACATTCATTTTTCAAGTGCATGAGGGGCAGGGGCGTATAAAATTGACTCCTGCTATATGCATAACTTTTCCCAATAAGATATACTTATACCAAATTTACTAGAACCAGTTCAGTAGATCACAGCACAGAGATGTGCGCAGATGTTGATTTTATGCCCAGTCTAGACTGGTCTGTCTCCACTATCTGGAACAGACTCAAGTCCACTTTAGGGACAGAAGACTTCACAAAGGCAAATATATTGTTCATAGTCCGTCTTTTTCTCCTCTCAATAAAATTGGGTCTTATAACTATGTAAATTTTGTTTCTTATTATTTACATGTTGTGTACAAACAGCAGCAGACTATACTTCAATGAGATGAACCTTCGTTCTAGGTTAGCAGTAGTAGCCATGATAAAGAACACAGCATCCCCTGAACTCTTTCAAGTGCTCTTTCTTTGCCAGGAACTGTGGAGAAAACACACGTACATGTTTTAAATATAAAGTCTACAGGTGGTTCTAGGCAAAGTCATGAGGTGCCAGAGAAGAAGCATATGCCTGTGTGAAAAATGTCCTATGTCCTCACAGTCAAACAAAGCTCTTCTGTTTGGTGAGGAGGAGATTATAATTTATGGGTCAAACCTTCAAACCCTTTTGGGCCTTGGTTATCTTTTGGTTCCCTGGAGCTGCACGGTCTGGCGCAGGTCACACAACAGAAAAGAGTGGGAACATCTGGTGTAAAGTGAACCAGCTGCAGCCTCGATTTGGAATCAGTGTGAGAGGGAAAAGGTCAAAGTTCAGGCTCAGGGTTACGTCTACGTTTGGGGATGAAAACAGAAGAGGGGTGGTCTCTGCATGCCAGGACAGCTAACCAGGCATAGCATACAAGTGGTTAACTGTTGTTGACATGCGCTTTTCAAACAATTCAATGTTATTCCAGCTAATTATTTAATAGA